AAAAAAAAAAAAAAAAAAAAAAAAAAAAAAAAAAAAAAAAAAAAAAAGGAAAGAAGAGAAGAAAGAAAGACAAAAACAACAACAAAGGGCTGGGACTGATAAGATATGTCAGCAGGTAAACTTGTCTTCTGCCAAGCCTGATGACCTGAGTTCAATTATTGAGAACCTTACATTGGAAGAAGATTGCTGGTTCAGTCAAGATGTCCTTTTACCTCATATGCATTAATATATGTCACACACAGTTGAGAAAGACAGTTGTAGGAAGGAAGGAAGGAAAGGAAGAAAGGAAGGAAGGAAGGAAGGAAGGAAGGAAGGAAGGAAGGAAGGAAGGAAGGAAGGAAGGAAGGAAAGAAGGAAGGGAAGGAAAGGAAGAAAGAAAGAAAAGGAAGGAAGGAAGGAAGGAAGGAAGGAAGGAAGGAAAGTGTGTAAGCAGAGTTTAAAAACTAAAAAAGAAAGCAAGAGAAAAGCAAGGAGAAACAATGGAGCATAAGGAACAACATCCAAATTTCTGTGTAAGAAGTTGTTAAACTTTCTGAGGTATATTTGAAAACTATCAGTAAAGTGATTAACTGTATTTTACATACAGTTGAGTATTATTAATTATTAAATCCTTTGTTTTATAACTTTAAATTCAAGATAAAGAAATAGTTTTTTAATCTTTTTTCTTCACAACTTATTCATTATAAATATATAATGATATACATATATATCATTTTTGAAGCCCCTTCTCTCCACTCCCCAAGTCTCACCCTCCCTTCCTCTTCTCCTTACCCCTTCCCCTAGTCCACGGAAAGGGGAAGTTCTCCTCCATTGCCATCTGCCCATAGCTTGTTAAGTCTCATCAGGACTGCCTGGATCCTCTTCCTCTGTGGACTGGCAAGGCCAGTCATCAGAGGCGAGTGATCAGAGAGCAGTCAACTGAGTTCATGATAGAGGCAGCCCCTGCTCCCCTCACTCAGAAATTCACATGGAGACTGAGCTGCCAGTAGGCCACATCTGAGCAGGAGGTCTAGTTTGTTTTTATATATAACAACGTACATTAACAAAAGTCTTTCAGTAAAACAATATCCATTCAAATACTTTGTCAGACTTATAATCTATCAAAATTATATAATAATCTTTTAATCTTGATACAATAATGTGAGGTTTTTAGATGGCCTGATATTTCTTCAGTTTGTATTATTTTTACTTTATGTGACTTCTTAAATTAAGAAATATTATAAAAACATTATCTTTCTTAGCTGGACTTTTGGTTACTTTATTGGGGTTTTTCCTATACCCCTACAGCACCACTATCCTTTCTAATCTCCCCAGCAATAGGTATGAGAGAAAGCAGGTTAGATGGGGAAGGGAGCTTCAATACTGTTACACTTCTTCCTGTGCATGAGAGGCTTAGAGGCAAGGCAAGGTGTGGCATCCGGTTCCTTGGGCGAGTTTGATCTTTGTTGTCAGGATATCTCCAACCTGCAACCAGCAGAACAGCACTGAGTAACACCATCAGGAGCAACAGGGGCAGCAGCCGAGGCAGCGGCAGCCGCTGCTCAGTTTGGGATTCTCACATTTTATATACCCTCTGAGCCGCCCTCAGAATTCCAGACATAAACTGCCCTCAGCTGGCCAAATCACGCCCTGCCAAGGCATGGCAGAGTTAGCAGCTGTGGAGAATGTGAAGCAGCCCCATCTCACACCTGGGATGAAAGCAAAAGTATAATGTATGTATGTTTTCAAAGAAAGCAAAAATTCTCGCCGTAGTGTTTGTATTGATTGTTGCTTTGTGAGAATTATTTTGTTTGAAAAGATCATCCTTTTCCCTCAAAACTTTACATACTAAGTTATTTACTGTGTGTGAATTAATTCTCATCTCACGGGAAAACATCAATTAGACTTTATTAGAGATTGAATTCATTGGGGAAATTTTAGTAAAGCAGTAAAATTCAATTATTGTAGGGATGGCTGGAAGCTGAGAGGTGGCTGGTTCCATGACTGGCATTCCATACTGCTGCAGGATGTTTTTACCATTTTGACACTCCAAAAGGAAGCAAGGATTCTTTTTAAGAATATTAACACTGTGTACATGTATGATTTCTATAACGTGTGTATGTTTACTAGGTGGGTGCATACCTGAGGAGGCCAGAAGAAAGTATCAGATCCCTCGGAGCTTGAGTGACCAATGTTTGTGAGAGGTCATGTGTGTGCTGGGAACTGAACCCAGATCCTCAGAAGGAGTAGCTAGTGCCCCTAACCTCTGAGCTATTGTTCCCACCCTAAAGACAGGCATTTTACTCACACTCTGTAACACAATTCCGATGAAACAAGAGTCTGCTTTTGGCAACAGCACGCAATCCAAACACTGTGGACACACATACTGATACTTTTGGGAAAACTGAAATGATTGTCCACTGTCTGACAAGTCACAAGAGGAAGCCAAATTTAACATATACAACATTAAACTCTCATGTGTGCTGGCTATTGCTTCTCAACTTGACACAGGCTAGAGTCCTTTGAGAGATGGAACTTCAGTTGAGAAAAATGGCACCATAATATCCGGCCGGGCCAAGCCTGTGGGGCATTTATTGACGTGGGAGGGCCCTGTGTGTGGCTGGTTCCTGGGCGCTGTAAGAAGGCAGCCTGGAGTAGCAACACAGGTCTTCGCGCTGTTGCTGTGGGGGCCATGGCCGAGCGCACGGCCCGAGGTGGTGGGGGAAGCCCACCGCAGTTGGCTGTGATGGCGTGGAGGGTGGCGGAGGAGGCGGCAACAAACCACCCGCGGTTGGTTAGCTGGCTTCTTCGGAGCGGGGGAGCGGGTTACTCGCACGCTGATTTGGCTAACTGGTATGAACCCCCTGTCTCCATATTTAAATGTGGAACCATGCTGTCTCATGCAGGACACTGATGAGTTTATTTTGCCAACTGGAGCTAATAAAACCCGAGGCAGAGTTGAACTAGCTTTCTTTACCATTGGAGGATGTTGCATGACAGCGGCTGCATTTGAGACAATGAATGGTCTTCGTCTAGGACTGAAGGAAACCCAGAGCATGGCTTGGTCCAAACCAAGAAATGTACAGATTCTGAATAGGGTGACTAGGCAAGGGGCACCTTGGGCTAGTACTCTAGGTTCTCTGGCTTTGCTCTATAGTGCATTTGGTGTTATCATCGAGAAAACACGGGGTGCAGAAGATGACCTCAGCACAGTAGCAGCCGGAACGATGACGGGGATGTTGTATAAAGGAACAGGTGGTCTTTGAGGAATAGCACGCGGTGGCCGGGCGCGACTGACACTCACCAGTGTCTATGCACGGTATAACAACTGGGAGCACATGAAAGGTTCCCTGCTCCAACAGTCACTCTGAACATTTTTGCCACCTTAGGAATGGGGGACACTTCACAGGCATCCTGATCAGTCAGTCTGGAGTCGCTTCCTCTCTTGTACCTACAATTAATTTGAACAGTTGGAGACTGATTTGCTGTGACAAAGATCATGGATGGTTAGCCTGGACTACACTACTTGCCCTTAAGGGAGTGGAAGCCAACCCTTTGGTGGCTCACTGAGTATGTGTTTTCTTCTCCTCTAGAGATGAGCTTGCACCTGTTTTCTTTCCTGCCCCCAAACTGGAAAAACCACTTGCTCTCCAAATTCAGGCCCTAGTTATTTTCAACACTTTTATCACCATGTTTATTCATTTAAAAATCTAAAACTTATGTTGCCCTGCATTCCAAATAAAGGGTGAAAACAGAACCAAAGTAAAAAAAAAAAAAAAAAAAAAAAAAAGAAAAGAAAAGAAAGAAGTCTGAACAAGCCATGAGAAGCAAGTGAATAAGCATCTCTCATCTCTCTCCAAGGGCCTGTGCATTGCCTCCTGCCTCCAGAATTGTGCCCTTTTTGAGTTCTTATCTGGACTTCCTTCAATGATGTAAAGTACGGAAGCATACTTGTATGGAAGTATAATCCAAATAACCCATTTCCTCTACAGCTTTTGGTTATGATGTTTCATCACAGTAGAAAACCTAACTAGGATAGATGCTGGTACCGGGAGTGGGGTATTGCTGTAACAGACCTGACCATGTGATTTTGGGAGGAATGTAAAATGACTTTGGAACTTGGGGCTGGGAAAGCCATATAGTGTTCAAAGATTGGTGGCCTGTTCTATGGAAGCTAAAGATAAGAATGTTGAGAACAATGCTGATGATGGAAGCCTTGCTAGTATAGTTTCAGAAGTAGGACTCTATCAAGGTAACTTTGTTTTTTGAGTTGAGAATTTGTGGTTCTGGTTACTTGGGGCTGAAGAATTAGCTGTGATTACCTAAGGACTAGGACTACTCAATGTCTGTTTTTTTGTTTTGTTTTGTTTTGTTTTTCCAGAACAATTAACACTGGTCAGCTAGAGCTAGGTGGGTTTTTTTTTTTTTTTTTTTTTTTTTTTGGTGATCAAGAAGAGAAGGACAATATGGGATAGAATATTCTGGGCAGTGTTTCCTCAGGTCAGCATACAGAGGCTTTTGTTCTGGAGGTGACTAAGTTTGTGCTTTGCCACCTGGTGGTTCTGATTTTGAAGGCATGGACAGATCACAGAAGCTTTACACTGTGAAGACAGCCCAGGCGAGGCTATTGGGGAAAATTCAGCCTAGTATCATGAGAAGATCCCAGTATTTTGGAGATGTCAGTATCATGGGATGATCAATAAGAACATCAGGATGGAAAAAAAAAGTGACAACTTTGTGTTTTGGTGTGCCTGCAGCTATTTTTACCCCTACGGCACCTTATTTTCCACTTCAGCCTCCAGTGTTTCTTGCTATGAGCAAAATATTTGGGATTAAAAATGAGCTTTACAAATGAAATACCACTGTAGTAATACAATGGGCTAAACAGATTGGCAAATAAATATGCAAAAGATTAGAATGAATCAGGAGAAACAAATCCTTATAACAAATATATAAAAACGTATAAACAAAACATCCAACTTAATGGTGTTTTTGTAATAAGAATAGATTCTGTTACCAATACAAGCAAAGTTTAAGACAAAATTAATAGGGGCTGGAAAGATGGTTCAGCAGGCAAGAATGTTTGTTTCTCTAGCAGAGGACCAGCGTTTGGTTCCCAGAATTGAACTTGGATCATTCATAACTGCCTACATCTCCAGCTCCAGGAGATTGATGCCCTCTTCTGGCCTCCATGAGCCCTGCATTCACATGCACATATATGTAAATAAAAATAAACACCATGGCCAACATATATAATCTTTCCAACATTTAATCTAGCAATAATCTCAGGCACTATTTGAGTATCTCATTCCTGGAAATTTATTTCTAGAATATCATCTGAAATAAACATGAGGATTTTGTTACAAAGTTGGGTGTGGTATTGTTAGATAAAGTAAAAAAGCATTTGAAATAACATCATGAGTTATAACAACAATAAAAGTTTATAAATAAACAACGGCTAACCCATTTTATGGAAATTCCTCAGTCATTCACTTTACTATCAGCAATCAGATCAATTATATTTTGTCACATTTATATTTATCAAATGGTGGTATTCATCCCAATAATTTATTACTTTTTACTGGTTTTCTATAAGGCTTATTTATGCTTGTTTTAAAGTACAAAATTAAGGAATAATCTTACAAGGGTATTAGTCTAGCCATAAAAATAATGATTCATGGAAATTAATATATATATATATATATATATATATAGAGAGAGAGAGAGAGAGAGAGAGAGAGAGAGGGAGGGGAAAGAGTGTGACAAAGGTAGGTAGATAGATAGAGAGACAGAGAGAGAGAGAGAGAGAGAGAGAGAGAGACAGGCAGGCAGGCAGAATGAGATAGCAAGGTATGAGGGGAATGCATGAAAAGTTTGGGAAAACAAAGATGTTTGAATCAAAGTCAAGGCAATATTAAGTGAAGTCCAAAGTAGCATATGAAGAATGGAAGTGATGATTTAGACAAATAAAAAATTGCTTAGAAGAACATTTATTCAGAGGAAAAATCATATGCAAATCCATATAAAACACAAACATGTGCATTTCTATGATGCAGTATGATCTCTAGCTATGGGGAGCTCCTAGGAAGGTAAGCATGGTTTCTTATGAAAAATGCATTTTCCTTGATAATAAAACATTTTCCCTAGATTAAAATTAGTGCCTTTAAAATAAATGTGACTTGTTCTTATGTTAGGAAACATTTACCCTATATATTTTCCGGAAATTCAAATGCTCTGAGGAGGCTGGCCTTCCAAAGTACTAATCGATGTTTTAATTAATTCTGGGTAGGGTTTATGAGTTCTCATGCGTTTTAAGTACATTAACATCAATATTGGTGTCTTAATCTATAAACCTGGCTCACATGTGTCACCTCTTAACATCTCTGACTTCCAGGGCAGGTCATGGCATGAACAGGAAGGGTATATGCTAATTTGCCACCTAGAGGCAGAAGAGTGTGTTTATCTCACACACGTCAGGGTCACAAGGCAATCACAAATTTTAAAGACAGGGCAAAGCATTAATTTAATTACCCAGCTGCTTGGGGAAATAGAAATCAGTATTTGCTTTCAGCATTGCACATTCCTTCAAACTGATTTTCTAGCCAATCTGAGTGTACAGGTGCCTGACCAGGTAATGGGACATAAAGCTGTGATAAGCAACATCGGGCTTTTAAAAATAAGCAATTGTCATTGTACTGAATGTGGGAATCCTCCTGTCTTCTAGTATTATGATATCTGAATCTTATCATTAAACAGAAAGACCATAAATTAGTTGTTTGAGGTTTTCCGAGTTTGCTTCTTAGTTGCTGTGACAAATGCCATGAACAAAAACAACTTGGAGAGGAAGGGGTTTATTTCAGATTACAGTATCTAGTCTGTTGTTGAGTGAAATCAGGGTAGGATCTCAAGGCAGAAGCGTGGAAGCAGAAACAGGAGTAGAGGCAATGGAGGAACACTGCTTACTGGCTTGGCCCACCTGATTTGTTCTGCTCTTTTATAAACTCTGAAACGACCTGCCCAGGGTTAGCACCACCCACGATTGTCTGGGTCTTCCACCTAACCAGGAAAATCCCACAGAAGGATGACTAACACCTGATCTTAGGTAATCCCTTTCTCAAACATGATTCCCCTTCACTAGATATATCTAGATTTGTTCCAAGTCAGCAAAACCAGCAGAAGAAGAGATAGCTCAGTGATTAAAATTCTTGCTGTGCCAGTGCGAAGACTGAAGTTCAGATACCTAGAAAACCATCAAAATATGGGTGGGTATGGTGCCCACTGTAACTCCAGGTGTTGAAGACTGAAGTGCATCTCTAGAGCAATCTGGTTAGCAAAATTAACCATATAATGACCTCTCGGCTTGATCCAGAGACCTAAAATAAAGCCCTCACCTACACAAGTACTCGCACATGTGTACCTATGTACATGAAAAAAGGAGCACACACATGTATATCACATGCATGGAATATGGTTTGATCAGCAGCATCACCCTAACTGTATAAAGTTAAATTTCTGTGTACATCCTCTGAATTAATGACTGCCTCTTGTGCTGGTTTTGAGGGGAGATTGATGTACTCTGGTACCCTCAGCCATCTTTAGCTTCACTCTGTGTGTAGATACCAATAGAAGTGTGTGTGTGTGTGTGTGTATGTGTGTACCTTCACTGTCAATGAGTTACATGGAGAGTGAGTTCATAGGACAAATGAAGCAAACACCATACTTGAGATCTGGAGGTCAGAATGGCTTCTTGAAGTTAATATATGAGCCATTCTGACCTCCAGATCTCAAGTATGGTGTTCGGAACCTCAACACAGGAGTCTTTGCCACAGTCTAAAGTCTGTGTTGAGGTTCCGAATTCAACCATCCAGAACCTACCTAAAGCTAGGCTCAGTAGCATGAGTCTTAGCACCAACACTCCTGTGACTAGATGGAACAATGAGATGGGAGAGTCCCCAGAAGCTTTCTGGAGAGCTAGACTGGTACACAACAATGAACAAGAAACCCTGACAACAACACAGTGAGAAGAGGACTTACAACTGCCTTCGTCCCCTGATGTCCACAAGTGCTTTCCCTGTACACACACACACACACACACACACACACACACACACACACACACACA